TGCAGGAAGAATCACTTTTAAAGGCAGTAAAATCATGGCTTGATCATAATTCCTCTCCAAGCTTCTAGTCAACAACAGTTCTGCAGATCCACCTGAGTCCACCATCAATTCTCAACATCTGCTCACTACAGATAACCAGCATTTGGCACAGAGGTTCATCCAGAAAAACAAGGCAGAATTAACTACGCCCAGCTAACAGGAAAAGCCTTACAACAGCAGTGGGTTACAGCCCAGGGCAGCCATAAAGCCAGAGCAAGACTGCCAGGTCCCTGGCTCTTCATGCAAACCCTTGCAGATGCTTAGCCTACACCCCATGGACAAGCTCTTCTGAAGTCAGGCTGAGTTTCCAAAGACTGAACAGGCAACAGCACTGAAGAGGTCAGTGAACTCAGCTGTAATCAACATTTTCTTGGTGCTGGGGACAACTATGGGAAAAAGGCTGGGATTGCACATGTTGTAGTGCTGACTAACAGTGAGAGAGTTATTAGATGTAGTCTATCTAGCCTAATAAACAAAACGGGAATGCTGAGGAAGCTTTACCTGATTTGCAAAAACCAAACCCACACAAGTTAATACTTTTTGGGGTGTTTTATGTTGCACCTGAAGAACACCCGTTATGAGAAGGACTGGCCGCTGGTTATTTCTTCTTAAATTTCCTATGTTTTTACAAGGTCCCAGAGCCCTGAATATCTCAGGAAAGCTATGACAGACACAAAACCTCCCTGTCACCTGAAACTCCTTGAAGGCAATGTTGCTGTAGCTGCACTCAGTGGTGCCTTCCATAATCAGAGGCAGAGTACGGAGATCTGCTCCTTTCCAATGGAAGAAAACATTCCCAACTTTTCCTTCTGCCTGTTAACATGCGACTACAATGTTCTAAATATGCACCATGTGGTGCACATCCAGTGGCAATACATCAAAAGAAATTAATCCAAGCTTCCTTTGCTCACCAGACTTTGAAAAACCAAGATTGTCACAAGAATTCCACTGTTATAACAGATTTTTTATCAGAACAGTAGGTCTTCTTCTCTGCATAGCTTCTCCATGCTTAGCAAGCAAAATCTAAAGCTTAATGAGGCTTTGCATGTAACACTGAAGGCTTCAATTACACAGCCTCTACACTCTTCATTGTGAATGTTATTTCATGGGAGAAGATTCATAGTCAAATATAGATCCCAGTGTATATAGCAATGATCCTGTTAGTACACCACAACTGCTGCTGAAAAAAGAGCAGGAAGGACCACATAATTTACAGAAGTTGCTGCCTCCTGATATAAGCTTGACTTTCAGATGAATCAGTTGTAAGTAATCTGTTTACCAACACAGCTGACATTAGCATCACAGAACATCCAAATCCCTCTGAGCAACACATTCTTTCATAATGCAGAATTTGTAACCTGACAGCTTCTAAAATCTACTTCGTTATATTGCACTTCTGGGGATTATCTGCATTGATAAAAGAACGAGCAGGGTCAGGGCTAGAACATCACCTTCCTGCTGCATCTGCAAGAACATGTCACCTATCTGAAAAAGCTAGTATTCCCCCAAAAGTCACCAACATGTGTAAGTCAGAACGCAATTCCCATCTGATCAATGGTTGATTTCAGGAGTATAGAAACAGGAAAATAATTGTGTTTACCAGTTTCTTTCAGAAGAAACACCACAAGGATCAGCACAGCAGACAGCTCGCCAAAACACTCCACAGAAGCTCAGCCTTTCTAAGCGCCAGCCAACCACAGCCCAACACTACACGTCAAAGAAGTGCTCCTCAAGGGTTCAATAACTAATAAACGGCCATAGCAAGAAATTCCACACAATTATGACTTCACTGTTCTATAAATTCAATCCCATCATGAGATACTCATCCACCTCTGACAATGAAGAGCACATGAGCTCCCTGCTCATATGCTCTACAGAGACCATGCCCACATTGAGCAATCACACACCTCTCCAGTACTGCCACCCTGCTCCACCAGCATTGTCAGAAACCAGGGACTGAGAGAGGCAGATGAGGAACCAGAGAGTGCAAGGAAACTTGAATAAGGTATAAAACACAGCCATGAACTATTTCATTTGTGACTTCTGTCTCCAAGCCAACACTTAAACTGCAGTTATTGAAAACTGAGGTCATACGAGCTAACATCTGAGGTATCAATCTTACTCAGAAAAACTTGAACCCTTTGTTAACCAGACGCAGGGGACACAACAGGGAGAACAATGCTGAGGTCACATCGTTTCACAAAGGGAGACTTCTGATTACAACTACCCAAAGGCAACTCCCAAAGAACATAGGAAGATGGATGTTTTTCCTGCTTAAACATGGACTGACTGAACCATACTGACACAGACTCACCGAGCGCTACATCCATGCAGCTTGTTTGGAAAACCTCTGAATATTCTCAGAATTGAAAATAGTGTACTGGGACCATAAAAAAAAAAAAAAAAAAAAAAACGAACAAAAAACCCCCCAAAACCCCCATAAATGCTTGAAGGGAAAGGGCAGCCGTTGACAAAACCAAGTTCAACTAATGACTGATGCAAAGTATTAGTGATCTCCTTCTACAAATACCTAATGGCAGAACCTGCAGCTTGATTAAGAAGCTCATTTCAGAAATGCTGCCATTTAGCATGAGCACACCCTATTCCCAAACAGGAGTATCTCTGTAGGAGCAAAGAGAAGCCACATTTAATTTTGTCTTTGTTACTAGCCCATGTCAAATATTGCAGAGAAAAGTAATCATGAAGTGGTATTTCCTCCATTAAGTTGTGGTATGAAGAACAGAGTTAAACGGGCAAAGAAACTGCAAGGGTCAACTTCACATCATCCTTTTGAACGAAATCTGCGTCAGGGAGGTTGAATCAGCATTTGCAGAAGAGCCTTAAACCACCCAAATATCTCTCCCTGCCAGCACCAGCTCCCAGCTTTGCATCCCTGCAGCAGACAAGCAGCGCCAGCAGCTCTTCTGTGTGCTCAGCCCCACTCCAAGCAAGCCAGGTGGGAAAACAGGATGTGAGAACACATTAGGTACTCCACCTATAGCAGAGAGAAAGCCAAATTAATGACATATGGGCAAACTTAATTTGGCATTTCCTATTGGGTGCATGACTTGGCAGTTTAAAACATTCTTCCAATGTTTGTATTAAGTTTCTTCAGCTTCTAAAAGGTTGAAAACTGGAGGGATATCTGTAAAGTCCCTCCTCGAAACCTCATATTTAAAGCTGAGGATCCATACTGACTTCACACGTCCTTGCAGAGCAGCATTGGGAACGTCAGGAGACGGCAAAGCTATGGGACATGGCTCCAGGCCTGTGAGGCGAGAAATTCTACCCAGTGGGTTTGACCCCTGGTTGCTTCACATCAAAGCAATATTCAGAGTCAGGAATAAAATTAGTTCAGTTCTGGGCTCTGCTGGAGAATGTCTTTCTGGGTACTGACCCCCCTGCCCCGCAATGGTGCATTATGGACCCTTCAGGTCCCTCTTGCTCCTTTCCTCACTATCTGCTCAAGAAGTTGTCCCATTTATTTCATCTCATGTCCTTTGCTTAATTTCCACTGAGGGTCAAAGCACCCTTTAACATGACTGGCACAGAATCGTAGAATGGTTTGGGTTGGAAAGGACCTTAAGATCATCCAGTTCCAACCCCCCTGCCATGGGCAGGGACTAGGGACTCCTCACACTAAACCATGTTGCCCAAGGCTCTGCCCAACCTGGCCTTGATCAAGGATGAAAAAGCCTAGCTTGAAGTTAATAGTCAGAACCGCAGCCAAGTCAGCAATCAGACAATTAAACTGATGAGCCAGTGTTTGTCCCCAGTGCCAGCTAGAAATGCAGCAGCTAGGAACATACCCACTAGAAAGGTGGAAGCTGCATTGAAGCCTGGCTCAGGCAGGGTGCCCAATGCAAGCAAAGCAAGAAGGGGCTTGCATCAGGTGCACTGGATATCTTCTCTTCTTTGGATTTAAATGATGCCAGGGTCAAGTTAAAAGGGCTTCTCTAGCATGTTTCAGTGTAGGAGACACAGTCCACGTGCCTCTTCCACCACCTACCACCCTCTAGAATCCTCATGTGTACCACCAAGAACACTGAAGGTACCATCTACTCAAAGTAACCCGTTTAATGTTGCAGCCTGTTTCCAGCATAACATCAGAAATACAGCAGGGGGGTGGGGGGATTTCATCAATGTAACCTGCGACGAACCACTACGCAACTTCTGGAGCACCGTTTCGCTGCTACAGCTGCCAAGAGGTGGGATGTGTCACCTATGGGCAGAACCTGAGAAACAGTGGAGGCACCACATCTGCTCCTTCTATACAAGTCAAGGGATAAAAGTCTGGAAAACAAACGTAGAGTTACTGGAGCAGTTGGGAATCAACAGAGTTCTATGTTTTAGAAAAACACTGGGTTTTTCACACAATTTTCAAGCACAAAATGTTTATTTTTCTTCTTTTTAATCTATACAATTTCTCGGGGTCTTTAGTGCCACTGACTTTGTCAGTATACAAGGGATGGACTATACAACAGGCAATAGCGACACAACTGTAAGATTCAGTGCAAGCTGAAGGAAAATTGGTGTGAGAACATATTTTCCATGTTTGCTCATGAAGCATACAGACATGAATCTAAAAAACCCAAACAAATTAAAGATACATGTTACAGAGAACAGAAATCTCTTACTACAGTAAGTATTTTGCCCAGGCAGAAGACTCTGCATAATTGTCTATAAAATTCAATTCTAACTGAATTGATGGAATAAGATATTCAAAGGGTACAAACAAAATAATTTAGACAGATATAATGCTCAAAGTACAATAGAACTATACAATTCACAGCTTGGAAGCACAGGACAGCTCTGCCCTTCCGCAGGCAGTATAAAATGACATCGCAGTAGAGATAGAGAGCAACGTGCCTTCAGATGTGACTGTGTGGTTGGAACCTATGCCTGCAATGCTCTCCCTTAGCGGTTCCAGGGAAAAGAGACTTACCATCAGCAAATGAATATTAGTGGTTGTCTTGTGCCTTTAGACCGAGAAGTGCAGGTGGAGACTCTATGCACAGTAAAACGGGCAAAAAGCAACTTTCAAACAGGAGAGAGGTGTCCATGGCACCTAGAGCGCAAACTTGAGTCAAACGAAAAAGAAATAAAAAATAAGAAAAAAAAAGAATTCAAACACAGGGTGGTGAGACTCCAGAACCGAAGCGTCGGATAGGAAAAAGAACAGCTTCACATTCTCATCCCGTTTTAGACTGCTAGCACGTCAGTGGCAAACCACCATTCTTCACCTTGGAGGCCAGAATACACACCAGTGCTGTACTTAAAAGGCTCTTACAATAACCCGGAGGTACGTTCTCCTACCATCACAATTTCAGTTAGATTTCTTCAGTTATGAAACATGCATGAATTTGTAATTTAACTAAATTGTCAAAGCCCAGCGGGGGACAGAAAATGTAATCCAATTTGCTGCTGATCTGGAACAAACCAGTATTTGCCTGCCTGGTACAGAAATAAGTTGCTGTCTACAACAACTTTACCAAAGGCTGTGGAAGAGAATGAATTGCACTGCCCAAAAGCTATTACCTGTCCTTATATACAACTTACTTGGATCACTGTGTAAATGCTTCTATTTTAAAATGTGCATTTCACTATTCTGTTTACAAACACAATTTTTTATCAGCACATCAAACAAACCTCACCTCACGATGACTATTTTAAAGCTTCAGAAATGAAAATTCATTCCATGAATTAAAATAAAAGCATTTACAGCAGAATGAAACTGATAGAGAACATTAACTGTAAACCTTCAATATCTTTGCAACTAAAAGGAACTTAAACTCACAGGTGGATTGTAAACAAAACAACACCTTTCACATAATTTTACATCTCTTTCCAGCTGGAACTGAAAAGCAGAAATTCAAGGCACTGTACTCCTGCAGGGGTTAGTACAATTTTCTAGTCATCAATTCAAGTACATTGACTTTAAAGACTGCGAGTGTAAAACATCAGAACACAACAGAGTAAAGTGTCTTCAGCAATGAAACAGAAGCAAATATTGCCATCGGAGACGAAGGATCTTTTGTGAAACCATTTCACAGTGATTGCTGGATGCAGCCTATGGCTGTGTATGCTCACAGACCTGGCCCCCCGCCTCGTCTGACACAAATGGCATCATCTACACATCAGCCACTCCACGGGACATCCCCGTTGCTGAGGGTGGGCACCGGGGTTACGTGGTGGGCAGATGCGGTCCGGGCGGCTCGGCAGCGCGCGGCTGCGGCGGCACTGGGAACATCCGCAGGCAGGGTCTGCTGAGGGGCGAGAACCGTGCAATGCCCCCGCCTCCGACACGCCACTGCGCTCCGTAAATGGGCCTCGGGAAAACTCCGTACTGACAGAGAGGCATCACGTAAGGGGTCACTGTGCCAGAGAGGGCAGGCCCTGGCATAGGCACTGGCAGGGACGGTGACACTCCAGGAGCTAATGCA